CCATTATGGTGAAGAGGGAGCTGAGCTGTAAGGCAAAGCTCTCTGTTTAATGGTCGGTCTACATTCCTCCCCTTACCTATGGTCATGAACTCTGGGTAGTGACCAAAAGAATGAGATCATGGATACAGGTGGTTGAAATGAGTTGCCTCTTCAGGGTACCTGGACTCTCCCTTAGAGACAGGGTGAGAAGTTCAGTTATCTAGGAGAGGCATCTGTTAAGGATGCTTCCTGGGCATCTCCCTAGGGAGGTGCTTCAGGCATGTCCGACTGGGAGAAGACACAGGACACCCTGGAAAGACTACATCTCTGTTAGCCTAGGAACGCCTTGGAGTCCTCCCAGAAGAGCTGGAAGAGATGATTCTGGAAAGAGATGTCTGGACCTCCCTGCTCAAGCTGCTGCCCCGGTGACCCGACTTCGGAACAAGCGGAAGATAATGGATGGATGCAGTTGTAGAAAATGTGGAGAATGTAATTCAAATTGATGACTCTAAAAAAAACATTGGAATGAAGTATTCTCTATAACATTTAATTTGAGACGAGCTAAAATTTAGTTTGTACCAAATAAGAGTTAAACGGTTTGGTTTTAGACTGTTTCCCTCAGACTGATTCTACACAAACATTATACTTTCTTCATATTCTTATACTTACAAGGTAAACAAGACTACGAGAACCAAATTTTTTAACAAACCACCAAAAAAAGCCTTTTTTCAAAGAAAGCATTTTGCCGCCTGCTACATTTTGGGCCAATATCTGTCTCACTATAATGTTTTATACATTTTGTGTCTATGCATGAACATTTTATCCAACATGCTGGCTCTAGAGATGGACTAAAGAAATCAACTGGAAGCCTCTAACAAGCTAAATGACATATAAACTATGAGTAACTCGTCAGGATCTGTGTGTTTTGTGTTGTTTTGTGTTGTTTTAGTCTTCTTGTGGTTCTTGTATTTATTTTTTTCGGTGAGTTAGCTGCCTGTGGTTCAAAGTCAAGTGTTTTTTTGCTCTCTCTGTGCCTGCTCCTACCCCTCCCACTCTCACCTGTTCATCGTTACCTTCCCCATGGTGTTTGTCATTTTCCATTGAATATTGTATGTCTCTTTAAAGATTGTGTTGTTTGTGTGTCCCTTGTGCATGGATTGTGCTTCCACAGCCCTTCATGCTCTGTTCTTCCGTGTCTTTCTGAATTTATTATTCATGTGAGTTTTGCTGCCATGTCAGTATTTGCTTTTATGTTTTGTTAATACATCTGGTTTCTTTATTTTACCTCTGAAGTCTTCATTTCTGTCTGCACCTTGGGTTCAACTCTCCTAACACATCATGGTAGTCTCTAACATATACAAGCATGAGAGTGCTTTTGACATATACAGAGCTTATGATCAACATTAGTTTCCATCCTGGAGTGTATTGTGACAATCACGTGACATCAGATATACTAAGAGCTGCTCTCTGCACCTCATGGATCCTGCAGAATAGACGAGTTTCTCATCATGCATTCATCCATCCATTTTCATCCGCTTATCCGAGGTCGAGTCGCGGGGGTAGCAACTTAAGTAGGGAGGCCCAGACTTCCCTCTCCCCAGCCACTTGGGCCAGCTCCTCCGGGGGAATCCCAAGGCGTTCCCAGGCCAGCCGAGAAACATAGTCCCTCCATCATGTCCTGGGTCTTCCTCTAGGTCTCCTACTGGTGGAACGTGCCCAGAACACCTCACCAGGGAGCCGTCCAGGAGGCATCCTAACCAGATGACCGAGCCACCTCAAATGGCTCCTCTCGATGTGGAGAAGTAGAGGCTCTACTCTGAGTCCCTCCCAGATGGCCACGTTTCTCACCCTATCTCTAAGGGAAAGCCTAGACACCCTGCGGAGAAAACTCATTTCGGCCGCCTGTATCCGTGATCTCGTTCTTTCGGTCACAACCCAAAGCTCATGACCATAGATGAGGGTAGGAACGTAGATCGACCGGTAAATTGAGAGCTTTGCCTTTTGACTCAGCTCTCTCTTCAACACAACAGACCGGTACAGCGCTTGCTTCACTGCTGACACTGCATCTATCCGCCTATCATGTTTCTCATCATATGTACCCTAAATTTTCTCCATTCTCAGTCAGTGAGGTTAATAAATTGTTAAAAGATCTTGATCCTAAAAAATCTGCAGGTCCAGATGAACTTCCACCTTATTTCTTAAGGCTGGCTGCTCATATCATCACAGTCCCTGTGACCTCTCCATAAGCCAAAACTCCATTCCAGATGCTTGGAAAAAAGCCTTCGTTCATCCTTTGCTGAAGGGAGGTGACCCCACCTCACTGAAAAACTATCGACCAATCTCTAAACTCTGCATTTTAGCCAAGGTTCTAGAAAAACTGATAAACTCTCAAATCAAAAATTACCTGGACTCATTTAACATCTTAGCTCGCCTTCAATCTGGTTTCAGGAAACAACACAGCACAACGACTGCTTCACTGAAGGTTCTTAATGACATTGTTGAAGCACTGGATGCTAAGGACTATTGTACTGCACTTTTCTTAGACCTGTCTAAAGCTTTTGACACTGTGGATCATAACATCTTGTGTCATAAGCTCTCAGAAATCAGTTTCTCAGATCACACCATTGGTTGGTTCTCTAACTATCTCTCAGATCAGAAGCAATGTGTTCAACATAATGGTACTTCCTCCAGTTATTTAACAGTCAACAATGGTGTACCACAAGGCTCAGTCTTAGGACCCACCCTCTTTACAATTTACATACATAATGTAGGTAAAAACATCCCTGATGCATCCATACATTTCTATGCTGATGACACAGTTGTTTATTGTTGAGCTAAAACAGTTGAAAAGGCTTTCCAGCTTTTGAAATCTGCATTTAACATCATCCAGACAGATTTGTTCCACCTCAAACTTGTCCTAAATGCCGACAAAACCAAATGGATGCTTTTTTCAAATAGGAAGTTGGTCCCAGCAGTTCTTCCTCTGATTTCATCCTCAAATGGTGTCCCGATTGAGTTGTTGATTCCTATAAATATTTGGGTATCTTGGTCGACTCGCATCTCTCTTTTAAGCTTCATGTGGAAAACTTGGTAAAAAAAACTGAAAGTTAAACTGGGTTTCTTTTTTCAGAAACAGATCCTGCCTAACTCTGAATGCTAGGAAACGCCTTGTATCTGTGACCTTCCTTTCCTACATTGATTACGGTGACATTATTTACAAGAACGCTCCTACAAGCACCCTGTGGATGTTGGATGCTGTCTATCACGGTGCACTAAGATTCATAACTGGCTGTGATTATCGTACCCACCACTGCACCCTGCATTCACTGGATAACTGGACATCATTAACTTCACGCAGACTCTCCCACTGGTACATTTTCATCTTTAAATCACTTCTTGGTCTGCTGCCTTCATACATCTCCTCCTACATGTCTCTGTGTGAGTGCAGTTACAGCGTGCGCTCTCAGGACATTATTACCTGCAGTGTTCCCTCAGTGCAGACTGAACTAGGCAAAAGGCCTTCTCCTACTCCGCTCCTGTTTCCTGGAATATCTTACAAAAACATCTGAAGCTCTCGACCTTGACCTCTCTAAGTGGCTTTAAAAATCTGTTGGACTCCTGGCAGGGACCAATGCAGACATGTTCCTGGTTTTAGTTTTCTACATTTGCCTTAGAATCTACCTGTTTTTTGTTACTTTTTTTTTAGCCATCCTATTTGTAAAAGAAAAAAAAAAGAGAGAATCTGTATGCCTTTTTATAACTGTCTATTGTTGTAGCTGTTGTCCATTGTTGTCATCATTCTTTGTTGAAATCAGGTCTCTCTTGTAAATGAGTCCTCGAGGCTCAATGAGATTTACCTGTCTAAATAAAGGTTGAATGAAAAAGATATATATATATATACTGTAGCTGAACCTCGAAATGCTGGCAACGCTTGCTATAAGTTAAAAACGTGTTTAGTAAGTTCTATGCAAGGTGTCAGCTATGCAAGAAATATGCCAATATGTGCAAATTACAGATATATTAAAAGAAAAATACTCTTAGGTTAGAAATAAGTTGCGTATATGTACTCGGTTGCCCAGCTGGTGGATAACTTGCATGCATCACGTGTGAACTTATACATAACTAACCAGTTGCACATCTATAACTTATATCTAACTTATCAGCAACACATCCGCATACATTGAAAAATCAGAGTGAGAGTCAGAGTTTCTTTATTGTCATTCGCACCTCATGTGGTACATGTGGTGGAGCGAAATTATGTACACGGGGTCCCAGTTACATCCAACAATAAAATGTACAAGAAAAACAGTAATAACATCTAAGATATGAACTAAGAAAAACATCAACTAAATATACACTAAGCACTAATAACATTAAACATTGAACATCAGCACAAACATGAACATGAGTCTGTGAGCAGATGTGCACACATGAACACTCAAAAATGAGTGCATGTACAAAGTTTTTAGCTGGCATCAGCATACGACAACTTATACTTGTCATAAATCAGTGCGCAGGTAACTTATTCAAAACTTACACCTAATTTGTGCTACCAGCATGTTTGTCGTTTTTTTGTTTTTTCACCATACATTGGAATATGCTGATGATATACGTCACTGTGTGACTCTTTAGACAAACATGCGTGATCTGATGAGCTCGAAGAATGTGTTGGGGATGACTCTCAGCTACTATTCAGTTATTGCGAATGAGTTGAATAAAGTTTGGCTTATCTGACTGTTTTGTTTCGCTTAATGTGCCTTATGTATGAAAACAGACCCGTTCATTGATATTGCGCCTTATAGTCCGAAAAATACGATACATCAAACTTTAGCTGTAACAGCTTTTCTTAACTTGGGTCAGGTCTAAACAGTTATCAGCTGTTGCACATCAAATGATCCATTTGTTACAAACCCATTTTGTGCATCCAAGGGTTAAGTTACTTTGCTAACAAGCACACTCACACATAACATTGCCCTCTTTTCATGGCAGCAGACAATAAAAAAAAGAGTTGTGCTTTTTACCTGTGGCTGCGGAGGACATTGAGCAGAATGATGACAAAGCCCAGACTGTAACAGGCCAAGTAGGGACTACCAAAGAGCCTGGAGAGAGCCCGGGTGTGATGCTCCCATCTCGCCACCTGAAAAATGTCATCAAGATGACAAGATCACTAGGTCAGACTGTGGTGTTCAAACAAATAACAAAAAAATTTACACCAGAGCAGAGATTTATGAGTTAGAGTCCCTTTAAGTTCAGCATCTTTATGTTCCCAATTTCCCCAGGCGTTCATCATGATGTCTCGTTAGAGTCTCTTTAAGTTCAGAATCTTTGTGTTCCCAGTCATATAAATACATTGTCTCTTATTATAGGAGCTTGTTAGGATCTGCGTGGTCTCCTTGTGATTTTATTGACTTTTCTGAGCCTGTTGTGTTTTCAGCTTCCCCAGTGTTTCGTCCTTCATGTTGCTCACCTGTTCCCATTCACCCCAGGCATTCATCGTGGTGTCTTGTTAGAGTCTCTTTAAGTTCAGCGTCTTTGTGTTCCCATTCACCCCAGGTGTTCATCATGGTGGCTTGTTAGAGTCTCTTTAAGTTCAGCATCTTTATGTTCCCAATCACCCCAGGTCTTCATCATGGTGTCTTGTTAGAGTCTCTTTAAGTTCAGCATCTTTGTGTTCACAATCTCCCCAGGCGTTCATCATGGTGTCTTGTTAGAGTCCCTTTAAGTTCAGCGTCTCTGTGTTTCCATCTTATCTGTGGACTGTGCTTCTGAGCCGTCATGCTCAGCTTCCTCTGTTTCGCTCCATGCCGTTGTTTTTGTAAGTGTTTGCTGCTACGCCATCTCTTTGATTTTGTATTTTAAGTTTAATAAATACTTTATTTAAGTACTTTGGTAACAGCTGCTGTTTTAAATATGTTTTATAAATAGATCTGACTTCGACTTTATTCATCCTCTAGTTTCTCAGAGTTTTGTCTGCGTCTGGGTTCAACACTACGCTGATCATGACTAATTCAGAAAACAACTGGGCCTACAGCACCGAAATCCAGACCCTTAACCATGCTGAAAATGATAATAATAATACATTTTTCAAGCATTATAAAATAGGCTAGAGTGGGTACAAAGAATACTGCATTAAATGGCTTTATTTTGTAGAGTGCAAATATGGAGTAACCAAAGCTGCAAAGTAAATTGAGCTGAGGTCATTCTTTTTGTTTTCGTCAACTAAAACATTTAATAAATCCACCAAGTTAAGTTGACTTCATCACGCTTCTCACCAACACTGAGCGAGCACACAAAACGACGAGAGAGGTCAAATGATCCAAAGTGAGCGGGTTATTGAGCCTTCTTTTACTTTTTTGACACTTTTATATCAAAAGGTAGAAAAAATTCACTTCTTAGGTTCCATTAAAAATAAAAAAAAAACAATGTAAAACTAAATAAAATGGTTTTGCCTTGACTAAAAGCCAGCTTCTTTTTTAACCTCGGTCCCTTTATTGTGACATTTTCACTTCTTCAAAGTTATTTTTCCACAAAAACTGGGTTAATTTAATTCACTCTTACTCTCTATTCACTCTATTGACTCTTAAGTAACGCGCACATTAGTAAAGAACTCATCTTCTGCTACTAGATTCCATCACCTTCTAAGGTACCCTGTTGCCTGGAGGTAATATTTAGACTTTTCTAAGTAAAACAGCTCACATTTAACTGGTCAGTGCAAATACATGAGAGGAGAACTTACTGTATGTGTTTGTGTAAATAAGTCCTTGCGACTGAAGGTACAAGCTTAGGACATCTGACATAAAAATCTGCTACAGGCATCCAGAAATTACAACATTTAAGACTAAGCGCAGTATTTATAGAAGACCAATATCTAAATAATGAACACACACGGGAGGGGAATGGCAAATACACTGACCAGAACGATCAAATCAAAGTTAGCTTATCATCTCAGAAAGCGCCTCCACATAACAACACGTCAGCACAAGAAATAAATTGTTTCATTCAAGTGTTTGTAGCTGTATGTATGAAGGAAGATTTCCACCATAAAAATACCCAGGCAGTGCTCATTAGATAAAGCTCGTTACGTGAGTGCAGCTGAACAAGGTCCAGAGGAAGGAAAATTAGTTTTTATCAACAAAACAATCCTTAACATCACCATCAGCAGTGAATCAAACACTTTATTTAATGTGGTAATTATGAAACAAGAGGTTTTAGGTTAATTCCTGAAGCACCTTTATTTTATAATTTAATGGTACATTTTACTGAATGACTCAAATGTTTATGTTAATTTAAAAAAAATGGTTGGGCAGTTAGCATCAAATGATTTGCAAAACTGAACGACTGTAATGAACTTCTGTTGAAATTTAACAATATTCATGAGAAAGTTCTGATATTTCCTTAATTAATTATTGTAGTTTCACTAGTTCACCAAATCACAAAACACTTTAGGTCATAAAACATGGCAGCTACAAAGATGTAGAATTTGTGAAAATAAATAAATAAAATACTTTTTTTATTTATTGTAAATATTTTATCCAGTTGCTTATATTTGAATAAATACTCTGAAATTTTAAAGCCCATGTTCGGCACAAAGATTACAAGAATTTCCTGCTCACAGCAATCCTGTTTCTAAACTGCAATGTTTCCAAACTCGAAGCCCAACAGTTAAAAAATGTTTTATTTGATTACAGACCAAAATAATTGTAATATTTTAGCATCTCCCGTGGGCAAGGATGAAATGATGCGTTTTCTAAAAAGTCAAAGCTGCAAATTTCTATCTGTTATGCAACAAAAAGACATCTGACCTGCTCTGCTTTATGGTGAACAGTTCTTTAATGACAGACAAATGTCAAACTAATATCTGACTCAAATGTTGCCATGACCACCGCTTTTCTATACTCGAGTGAGGCAGACCAGAAAAAATAAAACATTATGAAAAAAGGGTAGCAGGAAACTTGATGATGGAAAGAAAAGAGATTTATTGAGTCATAATCAAGTACACCTGCTCAATCAGTCCATGAAGAATCATCTAATTAAAAAATAATAACTATATTTAGATCTTCAGACCAGCTGGTGAAAAATGATAACTTTAGGATTCTTTATGTTCCTCTGCAGCCCAGGAGCTGTTTTTTAATGGAGCTGCCAGCAGACCCTCCCCTTGTGTCTCTTCCTGCATGTTAAGAGCTGCTGTACAGTATAATTAAGGCTGGATGGCAGGCTTACATCCACATGTTGGTGACATCAGTCTGTTCCGCAGGGTTCTGACACAGCAGTGCACAGAAACAAAGGTGGAGAGAATAATTAAAGATTAGCCTTGCAGATAGCAGAAAGAAGAAATGATGACGCAGACTGTTTTAATGTCACTGCATGCCATTTAAAACTTCAGGCATTATTATTATTGTTCATTAAACTCTTTTTATGTGTTCAGATTAAAACTAAAACTGTGACACTGTCTGAAGAGCTTCCACATGTGGACCCTTCAGACTTTGGACTGAAGAGATTAACCAGTGGCAATGTTACCTTCTTTTTGGGGCTGCTCAAGCACCCCATAGTTTTAACTCAGCATGTCTGAAAAATAAAGAAATCATCGTTAGGATTTTGTAAAGAAGCTTAGTTTTCAAACCTTAGATTCACCAAAATATTGAATAAATTTGGAATAAATCAAAGTAAAAGTTTCATTAGTTGTCATTCGCGACACGTGGAGGAACAAAATTGTGTACACAGGGTCCCAGTTACATCCAACAAAAGTATAAACTGTAAAAAAAAACGGTAATAAGATCTAAGATATGAACTAAGAAATACGCTAAACTAATACAATAAACAGTACAAGTACAAAAACAACACGCACATGAGTCTGTGTGAGCAGACGAGTCTTCTTCAAGTATTCGGCCTTGGGTGTTGTGTTTCTGCCAGTCCTTGGGTTGGTCATCTGGTCAGAGAAGACTCCCCACATGGAACTTCTCTGACAGCCCAGAATGATACACGCATGGCTTGGCTGGACGGAACGCGGTCCTGACAGCGTGAACCACAGGTTCATTTTCGCATCATGTCCACCTGGTAACGAGATCTACAACTTGGTAGGACGAACCATCTTCCTCCTGATCATCTTAGACTCAGTGCCGACCGGTCCTTTGTAGATTTTTAGTTTACTTCACAAACCTCAGAGAAAACTTACAGTACCTTAATTTTAAGCATTAGTTCTAAATTTAGATAACATCTCTCCTCAAAGTTTAAGCTATTTTCATATATTTCACCCTTATGAAATAATACTATTGATTATGCATTCACATTTCACACTTGCCATAATTTAATAATGTTGTTATTATTTAAACTTACAATAAACGTTACAGAATTCTGACTTTAACCAACCGGGCTTTGTGTGTTTAATTCAAGTGAGGTGGATTACAACATTGCCAAGAATCCACCATTATTTAACTCGAGGTCATCCACATTTATTATTTTTATTGCACACCTGTTAATAAGGTGTTCAGACCTCTTTACTTTCCCATATCACTACAAAAATGGAATAAATGATCAGTTTTTTAACAGACCAGTAAAATCTATGATGATTTTGCACATATCAGATCCTCAATCAATCCAGCAGGCTCGTCAGCAACTGACCAATCAGTGATCTCAGCTTGTCCCAAAGGTAAACGCCCATTACCTGCAGGAACTGCAGCCCCCTTTCCTCCGACAACATTGTCAGGGTTTTGCGTTATGAATGTGTTGCAGTCAGAGGGATTTCATGAAAAATCATCAAAAGAATGAATAAACGTCAGTGGAGAATATGTAATTCAGATAAGTGTCTTTACGGGAACATGAGAACCTGCCATCCGTACAGCCGATGGTTACTCCAACTTACTAACACGCCCAGATGTAGCTCATCATCTCTCAGAATGACTGTGGAACGAAGTATTGTCTTATGATTTTAATTAGCTCTTTAGTTAGCTCATTTTTTAAATCAGGGAGAGACAAAATATTAAATTATTTCAGACAATTGTAGAGGACAATTTGATAATTATTTTGTGAAAGTTTGTTGGGTTGTAGTTTAAATGTGGATAACAATAGTTATATAAAAGTTATACAATGCTTTGCATGGTTTCCTATACTTTTCTTATGACAGGCCAGAATAAAATACGACATTAAAAGAACAAATAAATATACAGAAACACAACTAACGAAAAATACAAAAGCAACAAAAAAACAACTCAGCTCTAGAAAAGTCAAGCGTGAAGAGATTTAAAAGAGTGGGCTGCCTCAGTGGTCGTGTCCGATAGATTTGGGGTCTCCTTAAAAGCTTGATCACCTTTTTGTTTTCATCTTGTAACATTTAAAGACAACCGACTGGTAAACCGGAGTACATTTACAGTGTTGTTAATGTTGAGAAGACTACTTCAATATGATGGGAACATAAAGATTTTGCAATATGATACGTTGGTGTTGAACGTTTAGAACTTTAGAATAAAGCAGTAAACCCTAAAATCCATCCGGAAACTGACATCAGTGGAGAACAGCCAAGAAAAGCAATTAACTCCTCTATGTAGTTGTAAAACAATCTTTCACATCCTGTTGTATTTGTAACTGAATATGCACAGTATTTTTATTTTGGTGTATTGATTCATTTTAGACAGATTTTTTTCTCTATCCATAGTGGCCTTGAACGCAGCAGTCTTGTGTAGAGCTCCAATTATAGACAAATAAATAATGAAAGGTTTGCAACAATTTTGTTTTGAAGTTGGAAATTGATTTGTTTCTTAAAAAAAGAGAAGGTATTTGAGGCAGGTTATGACATAACAGAGCAGGAGATCTGAAGAAAACTGAGACTGGAGCAGAGAAATCACAGTTTCTGATCCTACCAGATGCATGTAAGAAGAAACATTTAGGGGCTTATCCTCAAATCTGATACATTATTTTACACTGAGGGAGCTACAGCGAGCACCCTCTACTCTGTATTGTGAGTCAGCGACGGGACAACAGCCTCACACATCAGTTTTCAAATCAGTCTCTGGATGATGGAGAGAGCTAAAAATACTCAGGTGTTCTGCAGACAGACCACTGATGATGCTATCAAAGCAATCAAGCCAAACGACAGAAGGCACAGATGAGGAGGGTTCAGGGAGCGGCGCCAGATCAGCAGAATGAGCAGCTCTTCAAGACAAATTCAATAAAGTCCTAACAAGCTCCTCCTGCATCTCCAACAGCCCATTTATAGCAGAGATGCAGGCGCCGGACCTGAAGTCAGCACAGCGGGAAGAAATTTGAGAATGGGGTCATCTGACATCTGTTAGTGTTGAAAACAGAACATCTGAGCAGCAAAAGTCATAGCACCCCCATGAAAATATCAGATTATTTTCTTTTTCATCTAAGTTAATATTCTTTAATATGTGGTTGTTGTGATATTTTCCTCGCAAAACACAACTAATTTAAAAAAATAAATAAAAATTTATGATTATATCGAGTCAAAAAAAAAATAAAAAATCAGATCTCGCAACAAAAAATGAACCTCTGAACCGGAAGTGAAAATTCAAGTTACTGAAAGTTCGGTAACCATTTGAAAAGTGCACGAAATACAAAAATGGACCGTTTTCTATTGTCCAAATTGCGTAGAATGGAATCAGAGCAGGAGGATTTTTTTGGAAGCAGACTGCAAACAACAAATAAACAATAATTTGGAAGAAGGATCAAGTCTACTGCCATCCTTCCACATCTATTGAGGATGCTGCTAACGCTAGCGCTGGACAGCTGGAGGATGGAGCCAGCACGTTCAGATACCTCTGGGCAGGTCCCAGCGAGTCCTCTTCCTGGTGTCTCTGGTCTGATCCACCAGAGAACCCCAGAAAGACGAGTGCTGCTTCAACACTGAACCAGTAAAGAGCAGAAACTGGTGACATGATCCCTCTGGTTATGCTATTTTTAGCTGATGCAACTTGGTAAATCATTTTCTGGCTTGTAGTGATAATAAATAACTTTATCTGATCAGATTAAATAACTTCTTTCAACCAAAATCCAAAGTAAACTATTTATTAAAATAGTCAAACTTTGTCTAAATTCATGCGTGTACAGATTCCTGCTCAAAGAGTCAATTTTGCCTTAGATAAGAGAATTAAGCCTTGACTGATTATTATTATTGTTTGTTTATTATTATTTTAGTTTGATTACTTTTGTAATAAAACGTCAAAGACAACTTTGGTCTCTTCATTCAGATGAATATTCATGTTCTGGTATAGAACTCCCTGTAATTAACAGATTCTACTTCAGTGACTGATTCTGATGATTAAAGGATGAATATATTAATGAAGTTGTTGTTGGTCAGTAAAGTGACCAGCTGGTGCTCCACTTTATTGAATGAAAAATAAATAAAACAAATGTAGTGGAGTTGAGATGGAAAAGGCGTCACCCTTCTTCCTCCATCTCACCCTACGTTACTGATACAAGCTTCTACCCTGAGGCTGTTTGACTCATGACCCTAGTCAGGATTATCACTGTGACGCCACTTGGTTGTTGATATGTGCTGCTGACTACCCATGCTGCTGATCTCATGCTGCTGATTTATTTAATGTTGCTGTCTTCATTCGTCCTCATCTGCTCACAAAGACTCATGTTTGTGCTGCTGTTGTTTTGGCACATTGTTTTGTACTATTCGTGCTTAGTGTATTCTTAGTTTAGTGTATTTCTTGGTTTATGTCTTGGATCTTATTATTGTTTTTCTTTACACTTTGTATTTTTGTTGGATGTAACTGGGACCCTGTGTACATCGTTTTGTTCCACCTCATGTACCACATGTGATGTGAATGACAGCAAAGACACCTTGACCTTGAGAACTGAAAGAACAAATGATCCTTCATAGCACCCTCAGTAAAATGTTTAACCCCCTTTATCACCTGCAGAAAAATATCTCTGGAGTTGTCACTGCCCTTGTTTAGACAGAAAATACTGACAAATGAATCCAAAGTCAAACTTATGTAATATTAAAGTGTGAAGAAACTTATTTAATGTGTTACTTTTCAAACCCCTCAGGGAGTCAACCTTTGACGGAGAATCTGTCCACATGATCAGCAGCTGATGCTTTATTGACTTTATTAAAATACAGCTGGGTTCAAACCAGGACAATGTGCACACAAATAATCTGGGTAACAAGAAAAACAGGACCAGAGCATGAACAGACCACATGCTTGAATGGAAAAAATAATACCAATCGGGTTCTTAGCACATAAAGTCTATCAATATTTTGATTGTTATTGCCTGCTGCCGATGGTGAAAGGATAATGATTTGCCTAAATGTGTGTTTGTGTGTGTGTGTGTGCGTGTAGGTACTGAGTCATCACCAACACAAGTTCTGAATGCTTTTTGTTATGAAAGATTTTATTTTTGTGTAAAACTTCACCACTAACTGTTGGAGCCAACCCTTTAGAGCAGGGGTGTCAAACTCACTTACAAAATGGGGCCAAAATTAAAACCTTTTTCAAACTAAGGGCCAATTCCAGAATCTACAGGAACTCAAATCAGACACCCAGCATCTTTTCTTGGTCACAGGTTCCTCAACAAGAGTTTGATTGGTCTCATTTGATGTTCTCTGTTGTGCTTTTGGCATCATAATCAAAGATTACTGAAAAAATTCAAGAGATAGAAGTATTTTGTGTTTCACATATCATCGTGGGGGCCAGATAAGATGTCATCGAGGGCCACATTTGGCCCCCGGGCCTTGAGTTTGACACATGCTTTGGAATGTCAGCAAAATATCTCCTGAACCACCAGACATGTTAGAGTAAAATCTCTAAAGTAATCACACATTTTGTAATATGTGGTGATGTGGGTGGGGGGCTGCCACCTGGGGCACCCAGGGGGTAGATAGTGGAAGTTGGGTGCCTTGCTCAGGAGCCCAGGCAGGTGTGGGTGCTTCGCCTCTCCCACATTTTCACATTTTGATGTTGTCATGTGAGGAGTTGAGCCAGCGACCTTCAGATCACAGGCTCACATTCTCTAAGCTCTGTGCCACCACTCCCCCAACATTTTAAGGACCTGCTGGATGCAAAAGTCTCTTCGCCCAGAATCCTGCCTCTGCAGAATGGGGAGGACTTTGTGTTCCACCCCACACTTCCTGACCTGCAGCTGATTGAGTTAGAAAAAAACCTGAATATTCACAACATGAGGAGGAAAATTCACCGACTACTTGCTGTGTCCTGCACAGAATCTCTGTAACCTAAACTGCTGCATATTTAAGCAAGCAACATATAATCATGGTATTTTATAAACCTAACACATGATGTGAATCGATCTGTTACAGGGCGCAGACTTTACCCCACAGCAGGAATACTATTTTCTGATTGGTTGTTAACTCAAGACACAGACTAAGCAGATCAACACTCACCTCATCTTTTCAGTTTGTTATTTCTGAGAATTGAGCTTCATTTCTTCTCAGGGTGAGAAGTTGTGTAAGAGGGCGTGAAATAATTTAAATGTTTGTGCCTCACACTCCCTGGATGAGGTTTGAGAGCTCTGTTAACAGTCCAAAATAAATCAACCAAAGCCTTTTCACTGCACTTTACCTTTGTGACCTAATAACTACACAACTACACTAAGAAAGATTCACTGTGTTGACAATGAAACTTGTTTTTAACTTTAACTTTCACTATGGAGGATGGAATGTGACAAAATGAAATAAATAAAAACACAATCATGAAATGAATAATTTAATTATTAAATATATCATTACATAATTAAATACACAATTAAATTATTAAATACATAATGAAATATACAATTAAATTATTAAATACACAATTAAATTATTAAATACATAATGAAATATACAATTAAATTATTAAATACACAATTAAATTAATTATTTCTATTTATTTCATGATTTATTCAATTATTTAATTTGTCACATTGCACCTTCATGTGTCACCATGAAATTATGTTGTCAATCTCACTCATCAAACTCAGTGGGTGGGACTAACACTGAGAATGTGAAATTCTAAATTGTTAGATAAGCCATCAGTGTTTCATGAGCATTACCCCAAGTTAATATAATATTTCTTACCTTGCACACAGGCCGGGGTTAGTAGCTACAACATGGCGTGGTTATAAGATTCAACATGGTGTGTAACAACAGTGTGGCACGGTTAGTAGCTACAGCGTGGCATGGTTAGTAGCTAAAGTATTATACATTACAGTCCATAGTGGCATGGTTAGTAGCTAAAGTATTATTCATTACAGTTCATAGTGGCATGGTTAGTGGTGTGATTAGTCGCTACAATGTGGCATAGTTAGCAGCTAAAGTGTGGCGTGGTTAATAGCGACAGCGTGGCATAGTTAGTAGCCACAGCGTGGTAAGGTTAGTAGATACAGCATGGGATGGTTAGTGGTGTGGTTAGTCACTAAAATGTGGCATAGTTAGTAGCTACAGTGTGGCGTGGTTAGTAGCGACAGCGTTTCGTGGTTAGTAGCTACATCGTGGCGTGGTTAGTAGCTACATCATGGCGTGGTTACTAGCTACAGTGTGGCGTGGTCAGTAGCTACAACGTGGCATGTTTAGTAGCTACAATGTGGCGTGTTTAGTAACTACAGTGTGGCGTGGTTAGTAGATACAGTGTGGCATAGTTAGTAGCTACAGTTTTGCATGGTTAGTAGCTACAGCATGGCTAGTAGCTACAGTGTGGCATGGTTAGTAGCTACAGTGTGGCGTGGTTAATAGATCCAGTGTGGCGTGGTTAATAGATACAGTATGGCATAGTTAGTAGCTACAGCGTGGCTAGTAGCTACAGTGTGGAGTGGTTAGTAGCTACAGTGTGGCGTGGTTAATAGATAAAGTGTGGCATAGTTAATAGCTACAGCGTGGCTAGTAGCTACAGTGTGGCGTGGCTAGTAGCTACAGTGTGGCATGGTTAATAAATACAGTGTTGCATAGCTAGTAGCTATAGCGTGGTGTGGTTAGTAGAAACAGCATGGCATGCTTAGTGGAGTGGTTAGTGGCTACAAAGTGGCGTGGTTCATAGTTATAGCGTGGCATGGTTAGTAACGAGTGTGGCGTGGTTAGTAGATACAGTGTGGTGTGGTTAGTAGATACAGCGCGGCGTGGTTAGTAACGACAGCGTGGCATGGTTAGTAGATACAGTGTGGCGTGGTTAGTAACGACAGCG